GCTCAACTAACGGTAGGCCCAGGAAAAGAGCTGTTTCGATGGGGTCGGACCAAAGGGAGAGGGGTGTTAGTTGAGTCGGATTGAGCTGGCATGTGCAGAGGTGGTTGGTGTCGTGGGGGGAGTCTCCACATGCCGGGCACTCATTTGGGATGTTTGGGTCGAGTCTGGACAGGTAGCTGTTTAGGCGGCTACAATATCCAGACCGTAACTGAGCCAGGGTAACGCGGGTCTCTCTAGGTAGCTGAAGCTCCGTCTCTTCCACAGGTGGTGATTGGGCTCCGATAACGACATTCCTAGGCCGGGAGTCGAGGTAGGTGGAGACAGACTCCCTATGAATGTCGTTGATCGCTCGTCTGTACGTCATTGGGTCCAGTGGTTGGTCTGTGTGGGTCTGGACTGCGTCCTTGTACATGAATAGGTGCCCCCTGACGTGCCTGGGCGGAGGCTCCTCCTCCAGCAGTGGTCTGTTGGGGTGTTCACTTCTGTGACACCCCACAAGAAACTGCTTACAGAGCATCTTGTTGTGTTCCCTTACGGGGAGCACTTGGGCCTCACTGTGTAGGTGATGCTCAGGCGTCATCAGAAGGCACCCAGTCGCTGTCCGGAGTGCGGCGTTCTGACAAGTCTGTAGCTTCGTCCACTGCGTCCAACTAGTCCCCGGCGTCCAAACTGGCGCAGCATAATTTAGAACCGGCCGGCCAATTGCCTTGTATGTTGCCAGCAACGTTTCTTTGTCTTTGCCCCAGGTGCTGCCGGCGAGCGACTTGAGGACCTTGTTGCGGCTCTGTACTTTGTTGACAACTGCGGTTGTGTGCGCGGAGAAAGAGAGCAGGCTATCAAAGGTAACCCCTAAAATTTTCGGGTTGTTCACCGTCGGTATTGGTGTGCCGTCGACGTGAATGCCTAATTCAAGCCTGACCTCCTTCGTCCAGGTGGTGAAGAGGGTCGCCGTTGATTTCGTTGGGGAGAGGGTTAGGCTCCTTGCAGTGAAGAAGCGAGAAAGGCTGGAGAGATAGTCGTTTACTTTTGAGCAGAGGTCATCAATTCCATTCCCGGACGCCAAAATCGAACAATCATCAGCGTACGAGATCAGGGAAACTCCTTCAGGTGGCTGGGGGAGTTTCGAGATATAGAAGTTAAAAAGTAAGGGGGAGAGAACACCACCTTGTGGAACCCCTTGTTTTATTCTTCTAGGTTTCGAGGTTTGATCTCTGAAGATTACTGATGATTGCCGACCACTCATATAATTCGCCGACCATCGCTTCAGTCCCTGTGGGAGAGAGGAGGCCTCAATGTCTTCTAGCAGCGTGGAATGGCAGACGGTGTCAAACGCCTTTGACAAGTCCAGCGCTACTAGGACAGTTCTCTCACAGGGGCGGTTTCGATTTAGGCCGCGGGTTATCTGGGTGTTTATGGCGTTAAGTGCTGTTGTTGTGCTGTGCACTTTACGGAAGCCATGCTGATGTTTCGCTGGGGTTAGGTGGCAGGTGAAGTATGGGAGCAGCAGGGCCTCAAGTGTCTTCGCGACCGGGGAAAGGAGCGTTATCGGGCGATAAGAGTCTCCTCTGTTGGCGGGCTTCCCCGGTTTCAGCAGTGGGACCACTCTCCCTGATTTCCACACATCAGGAATGATGAGAGTGGTCATAGACAAATTGAGGACCTCCGTGAGGTATGCTACTCCCATAGGCCCCAAATGTTTCAACATCAGCATACAGATTCCGTCGGGTCCAATGGCTTTGGAGGCTTTCGCCTTCCCGATGGCCCCCTTCACTTCACCGCTGGTGAAAACAAGTGGTGCATTGTTTTTGGGCAGTTTGTGCAGCCTCCTGGTCACTCGACGTTTGGCCTTGTCTACCGAAGGATGCAGTGTGAATTGCCGACTGAAATAGTTCGCGCATTTCTTCGGGTCCGATGAGGCGTGACCTTCGAATGAAATTTCCACTCTGTCATCACGCTTCGTCGGGTTGGACAAGGACCTCACGGTTGACCAGAGCTTACTCACACCAGAGGTGAAGTTACAGGCCTTCAAGTGCTCTTCCCACTTTGTCCGCTTGTGTTGATTTACCAGTTGCCGAATCTCCAAATTAAGTTCCCTCAAGCGAGGGTCCCCGGGGTCGACCTGGCGTAGGTGGTCACGCTCATTTGCTAGTACAGCTGCTTCAGCCGGGAAATTTGGGCGGACTTCCGCGATGCGTCCGGACGGTATGAAGCGAGCTGCTGCGGCTGTGACTACCTTGCGGAACTGGCGTTCGCCAGCATGTACGTCTGTGGGTGTGGGGAGGGCGGCGAAGCTGCTCTCGGTAACTTCCGCGAAGCCGTTCCAATCAGCTTTGTTAAAGTTGGTGTAGGTTCGGTGATCCGCGGGAGCAAAGTCGGTGGGCTTATTGATCGAGATGATTATGGGCAGATGGTCTGATGCTAACGTTAGCATAGGTCGCCATGATATGCTATTTATCAGACCAGCGCTAGCAATTGTTAGGTCTGGCGAGCTGCTGCAGCTGCCCACAATCCTGGTGGGGGCGTCGTCGTTCATGGTGCAGAATGTCGAATCGTCTATCTGCTCAGCCAAACTGTTTCCCCTCCGATCATTGGCCAGGCTTGAGTGCCAAAGATCGTGGTGCGCATTGAAGTCACCTACTACCAATCGGTTTTCGCCTCTGAGTAGCGCACCTATGTCAGGGAGATATCCAGCCGGGCAGCAGGTGACAGGGGGTATGTACACGTTAAATATTTCGAGCTCGACATCGCCTGACCGGACAGCTATGCCCTGACATTCTAGGGTAGTGTCCCTTGGGTCGATGTCTTCTTCGATTAGCCGATACTGCACTGTGTGGTGTAGAATGAACGCTAATCCTCCACCATTATCTCGCTCGCGATCTTTACGGAGCACATTGTAGGCGGCGCAACCCAACAGAGTTGAGTTGCTGTGCAACTTCGTTTCTTGGACCGCAGCTATCAATATGCCGTGCCGACCCATGAAGACTGCTATCTCCTCAATCTTGCTCTGGAGTCCGTTGCAGTTGAGTTGGAGTACGTTCATGTGCCTTGGGAGGCTGGTCGCGATACGGGGGGTCAGAGAAGTGTGGGGCCTACCTTGGGCCTGTTGCGCCTGACGCAGTTGCTGTTGCAGCCTGATGGTAGGTGGCTGCGATATGGGCGTTGTTGTCTGCGCCGGCGGTGCACTACAGCAAGGGGCGCTGTAGTTGGTAGTCCACTCGCGAGTGGTGCGTAGACCAGAACATAGCCGGAAGTGGCACCAGCCAAGGCATGTGTTGCATTTGACTGATGTCACATTCCGGTATATTCTGTTCTGGCACACGGAGCAGATGGTGTGGGCAACCAGTAGCTGCTGGTTGGCTCGCGCTCGCGAGTGGGACCGGCCGGTAGGTTGTGTGGGTGGGGTGTGTTGGGAGGTTTGCTGTTGCTCAGGGGAGCTTCTGGGGGCCGTGCAGGCTCTTCGGGTGCTAGGTCGCACCCGTGCATTACGCGAGTGGGTAGCCGTGGCGGCTGATTGTGCCATTTGGCTTGAGCAACAGGGAGCCACAAAGTGTGTGGTCCACTTCCGGTGAGACCTAAGGTTCTTAGGTGACTCCATCCGTTGCAGGAGTTGCACCTAACCGAAGTGGAGTTCGGGTGGAGTCGATTCTGGCAAACACAGCAGAAGTAAATTTCTGGTCCGGGGTTGGGCTCTACGCCCGCCCGGAGAAGAAGGATGCGGAGCAATCCGGCTGCAAGGTATTGCTCCATGGACGAATAATGATTGGTTGGTATCGCCGATCTAGACGGGGTTAGATCGCCGAAACAACAGCTCTTGGTCGGGTAAAACCCGAGTCATTCCGGTACGTAGAACCGGCTGTTGTGGGAATGGTAGAGGGCAAATCTTCATTACCAGTGTTTGCAAATGTAAAAAGAGTGCAATTTTCATTTTCATTTAACCAGTCGCAGGACTTGGTGATTAGTCTAGATCTTGATCTGTTAACTTGCGTCCAATATTTCAAAAACCTTCGGCAAAGGTAGAAAATGCAATTTTTCAAACTGTCAGTATTTGCATTTTCGCCTGATGGCATAGCTTGTGTCAGGGCTTCAAAAACTTTCCGTTTCCTTTCTTCTTGGTTTTTGACGCTTTGACAGGAGAGCCATTTGTCCAATATAAACATTCGAGCAAAAGAACACTTATAACTCGATCCTAAAATTAAAAAAAAANCGGAGCAATCCGGCTGCAAGGTATTGCTCCATGGACGAATAATGATTGGTTGGTATCGCCGATCTAGACGGGGTTAGATCGCCGAAACAACAGCTCTTGGTCGGGTAAAACCCGAGTCATTCCGGTACGTAGAACCGGCTGTTGTGGGAATGGTAGAGGGCAAATCTTCATTACCAGTGTTTGCAAATGTAAAAAGAGTGCAATTTTCATTTTCATTTAACCAGTCGCAGGACTTGGTGATTAGTCTAGATCTTGATCTGTTAACTTGCGTCCAATATTTCAAAAACCTTCGGCAAAGGTAGAAAATGCAATTTTTCAAACTGTCAGTATTTGCATTTTCGCCTGATGGCATAGCTTGTGTCAGGGCTTCAAAAACTTTCCGTTTCCTTTCTTCTTGGTTTTTGACGCTTTGACAGGAGAGCCATTTGTCCAATATAAACATTCGAGCAAAAGAACACTTATAACTCGATCCTAAAATTAAAAAAAAAGGTCAATAGTGCCAATTAAAAAAAGAAGTGAAACCTTGAAAACCTTTTTGAAATTGAGGGTTGTCGTATATTCTTTATGCATTACCCAGAGGCAGCTAAACGCAGTTGGAAGGTTTTGATATTGAAACTAGAGATCTATGCAAACATTTTGGTACTTATATCATGAGTGAAATTTGGTGCAAAAGTAATTAAAAGCTGTGATAAATCGGAAAAGGCAATTTTTTTTATACTTTCTGCCGCTTATTTAAAATTATATTTAAACTCCTATTAAGACACTTTAAAGAAAAAAATCAAATACTTGGAATATTCTACATACCTTCAGCTTTCAGCTCCATATCAAAACAGTTCTGACAAGTAAATATTTTTGATCAAAATCTTCTCCGCGATTCACTTAAAATAATGCGTAGTTTTAGAAATAACAAGCACTTATGGAAAGTCTTAACTTTCGACGGTTGAAACGGAGCTTTAGCGTTAAAAAATAATTTTTTTTTCTATTCCCAGTTAGAGTGGCGTTACGAAGTCGTTTGGCTAATTGGGATTTTATGTATATTTTAATGTTTATGTCTATTGGTTATGCACTATTCGACCAGGCGAAGATGTAAAAGTAAGTTGTGTTTATGTTACATGTGAAAGTATATGTATATTTTTTTTTACATTCCTGACGACGACTTCAGACTGAAGTCAAAATATCGACCAAATAACTAAACCAACATAATTTTTGTGTATTTTGTTTAATTCCGGCCTTGGTCTCATCTAAAGTTAATAATAATCACTTTGTCCACAAAAATGCAAAGGATACGAGTTTTGGATAGCAGCCTTATTGCATCTGCTATATTGGATGTCCCATTTTGACCTTCACGATTCTATCATCGGAATCGAACTCCGATACCTTAAAAACGTTTTGGTCTCCTTCAAAATCTTAAATTGGTTACCAAAAAGCATATTGCTCTTTGTTTGATGGTCCCTCTTTTTTTATTTTGCGACTTTTACCGTTTGATGATAAAAATCAAAACCTTTTTTATTTGTTCGGACCTAGACAATGTTTTCTAGAATCCGTTCCAAGTTTAAAAAAAAAATTATTCAGTTCGGTTAAACATTTATTCTTCCAGCCTTTTTTTGAACAAAATCAGTTGAGAATTTCCCACTGTGCGTCGGACGCAGTGGAAATCTTAAACATAGAGCCACCAACTATTTAACTCATTCATACTCACACACTCATGAATAGTGGGAAATACGGCGAAATTGGACCGAAAAGTTACTTATGGCTTTGGAAAGATCTAGTTCTACAAGCCCGACCTGTCTATAAATATCAATTTTTTTAAATATTTTGTTACAATTGAGCTCTATTATCGTACACTCGACTTTTTCATGTACGAGGAGGTGTGATTTTTAATCTCAGAAGTTCAACTTTACATATGTGCGTATACGTTATTTAGGCCGAAAGAAAAAAGTTGTCCCATCGAATTTCCCAAAATACTCGTCTTAAGATCAGCGATCCTGAAAGGAAGTTTATTATATATGAGCAAATCTCACGAGTTATTAAATTTTTCGACAAAAACGTGTTTCTGGTCAAAAATGGCGGAACACTTATCTTAGATAATGCATTATCTTCAGTTTTGCATAAAGAACAAGATTCCATCGCGAAATTGTGTTTAAATGAAAAACTAAAAAATATATCTATATCTATACATAGTATAAACTATATATAATAAAGGAAAGTCGAGATTCTTTGAACACTGTATTTCTTTTTTGAGTAGGGTTGCCAACTTTATAAAAATTATAAGATATTTACCCTTCGTTGGACTAAAAATGAGGTGCAAAAGAGTTACCGCTTGTCTAAAAAATTATAAAGTCTGTTTGTTGCATTAAAAACATAGGATGCCAAATGAAAGGGCTTGGCCATTAGTTGTGCAATAAGGCTTTAATTTTTTTGAATACGGTTGCCACCGGTTTACTCCTAGTGCGACCGAACATGAGAGAGTGCTTGATAATATAAGGCCCTTTAATCCCGAGTTACCCTCTCACAATTGGAAGGTGGTGCGACAAGAGCATAGCACAAAGGTGACTCGTCAGGCGGTCCTTCTGCAAAATAAGGAGTCCTTGCCACTCCTCGATAAGACTGGAGGCGTCATTAATTATGGTTTCGACACCGTAAAGATAAGGGTATACACGAAAGCAGAAAGAGGCAACGAAGTTGAGCCGGAAGCGGACAACTCCGAGGATGAGGTGGACGAGGAATCCAACCAGGCCAATCCGATGGGTGACCAGGCTGGTGGATATGCCTCATCTACATCCTCTCTGGGAGTCGACTATATCTTCTGGCAATACAGAGAAGAGGAGCTGATATCAGCCGACGACGAGGCGAACTCAACAGTGGTGGAGGCGGTGAGAAGGTGCGGCCAAGATGGTGCGCGTCCTCCAGATTAATCTTCACCACAGCAAAGCAGCGTCGGCTGCACTGCATCACTGCTGCTCCAGCTCTCCAAAGGGGCAGCAGACATTGGCCTCATCGAGGAGCCTTGGGTGATAGGGCATAGAATTTGGGGGCTGAAGTCGGCAGAGCACACTTTGATAAGTGGAGTTTCCATAGGTAAACCAAGGGCCTGCATCCTTGTAAGTGCAAAACTAAAAGTATTGTTTCTTCCTCAGTTCAGTGACGAGGACACCACCACCATCAGTCTGGAGGCGAACGGACTTCAAATAAGGCTTGCCTTGAAGCATCTGGCATATGACTGGCCTGTTCCAACCTTACGGTCGAACATCTAGTGGAGCGCAGGGATGGGGCCTATTTTAGGAGGTGATGCGAATGCACCCCATATCACATGGGGAAGCGGAGACATCAATGAACGGGGAGAGTTACTCTTTGAATCCTTACTAAAATCTAACTTAGTTATAAGCAATAGGGGTAGCGAGCCTAACTTCATAACGAAGAGCAGAAGATGCGGAGGTTATGATCATGAACTGGAGGGTGCTTTATGAGTATTACTTCTCTGATCACCACTATATCCAATTCGACTTAGATGGGGTCCCGTCAAAGGTACCTCCCAAAAGAAATCTAAAGACAGCCGACTGGCAAAAGTACAGAAAAGAGCTTGATAAGCGACTCTCTAGAACCACACTAGCAATTCCTGGCAACTCTAGGGACCTAGATAGGCTGGAAAATCGCTTTACTGCGGCGTGTGGCAAGGCCAAGGATCAGCCTGCCCCATGGTGAAACCGAGAGGAAAAAGGAAACCCCCTTGGTGGAGTTCAGAGATTTATGAGGCCGACAAAATTTGCCCGAGGGCCTTCAATCTCGCAAAATCCTCGGGAGGCGATATGCAATGGGAAATCTATAAGTTAAACTTGAAAGATTACAAGAAACTATTAAGGAGGAGCAAGAGTTCCTCATCGAGGAACTTTTGCTGTGGTATGGAATCCATATCAGAAGGTTCTAGGCTCAGGCTTCTCTCTAGTTCACCTCGTATTTCCCTGAGATGATTGCTAAGATCCGACGGAGCATGGACGGAAACTGGAGAGGAATACCTGGACCATCTTCTGAGCATGCTCTTTCCAGGCGCCACCGAGCAGCCACTGAACGGGCCCATTAGAGATAGAGGTTAACCGGTTACGGTAGACCTTATCACCAAAGAAAAACTAATGTGGACAAAGTATCCTTCAAGCCTTATAAATCTGCGTGTCCAGATGGTCTTACACCGATTCAGCTACAGTAATCTCTTGAGTTAAGCTCAAATTGGCTGTATGCTACTTTTAAGGGACTGCTCACCGTTAACTACATTTCGGAAACCTGGCAAAGGTCAAGGGTTGTTTCGATTCCTCAAGCGGACAGAGCATCCCATACTTGCGCCAAAGATTCTCTACCTATTAGTCTATCATCTTTTCAGCTCAAGATAAAGGAGCGACTGATTGAATCATTTATTAGGGAATAGGTTGCAGACAAACTTATGGCTTCGCAGCATGCCTAAATGAAGGGAAAGTCCACCGAAATAGCGTTCCACAAAATCGTGTCGCATTTTGAGAAACCCTTAGCGACAAAGGAATACACCTTGATAGCATTCCTAGACATTTAGGGTGCTTTCAACAACATCACAACTGAAGCAATCTCATCAGCCATAACGGGTCTGGACATCGACTCACAGCTGGTGTTGCTTATACGACAGCTGCTAGTAAGCAGGGTCGTGCGGGCGGAACTGGCGGGGGTGTCGCTGGGCAGATACGTTTTCAGGGGAACCCCGCAGGGTGGGGTCCTCTTCCCCCTTTTATGGGTAATGGCGGTTAATGAATTATTGCAGACCCTGGAAGGGGCAGGAGGGAGGCTCCAAGGCCATTGCGTATGCTGACGACCTTGCGGTGGTTGTGAGTGGAAAATTTCCACAAACTCTGTGTGAAAAACTCTGTGTGATATTATGTAGGACAGATTAACTTTAATCGAAAGATGGGCCAAGGAGAAAGTTCTGGGTGTTAACCGAGACAAAAATGACCTGGTGCTCTTTACCAGCAAGCACCAAATCCCCTCACTTCAGCTCCCTGCTATGGGCAATAAGATTCTGAAGCTAGGGGAGTCCGCAAAATATCTAGGCGTAGTCCTGGTCATAAAGCTGAACTTGGCGCAAAATATACAAGAGCATGTTAAAAAAAAGCGACAGTAGCCCTCTACAGCTTTAAGGCGGCGATTGGTCTTAGCTGGGAGCTGTACAAGGTGGTTGTTTGGCCGATTCTATTATATGGGGTCTTGCTATGGTGGCCAAGTCTCAACAGGAAATTTGCAACTGAAGCACTCCAAAAGGTGCAAAGAATTGCGATGCTCTGCATCTGTGGGGCTCTTCGCACAACTCCATCGGAGGCTATGTGCGTGCTGCTCAATATTTTGGCAATTGAAATTGTGGGAAAGCAAATACCGGGGTGTGCCGCCTTGAGGCGGAGGGAACTACCAGGCTGAAGGGACAGTCAGGAAGGCCACATCGCAATCTTAAATACCGTAAATATACCAGACACGGATTACTGTGCACCAAGGATTAACGTCACAAAGAGGTATAGGATTTTCATTCCAGAGAGAAAATTGTGGTCAGGAGAGGCTCCTGATGACAATGGATCACTCCACCTCTACACCGATGGCTCTAAGCTAGACGGCAAGGTAGGAGGGAGGGTCTTCCAGCCCGGCTGGGGCTGGAAATATGTTTTCGCTTACCCAACCACTGCAGCGTCTTTTAAGCTGCGGTCGCTGCTATACAGGAAGCGATTGAACACCTACGTACAAGAGAAGTCGTTTATAACAATATCTTCATCTACTCAGACAGTCAGGCCGCACTCAAAGCGCTCGCCTCGGTCACATGTAGCTCAAAAACCGCAGCGGACTATCGCAGATCTCTAAACGAGATGGCTGAGCAATCTGCGCTTCATTTGGTATGGGTTACGGGGCACTGGATTATACCAGGCAATGAAAAGGCAGACGAACATGCACATCCGCTCCACTTTCGCAGGCCTGGAAGGGATTAGGCATGCCGCTCGCTACCTGCAAGCTCATTATAAAAAATCTGTATCTTAAGTTAGCAAGAGACAGGTGGGTTAGCCTCACCACTTGCTACAACACGAAGCTGACATGGCCAAAATGGGACAAAAAGCTGCTACGATCAATATAACGCGTAAAATTAATATTACAAACTTTATTTCTTAATAGTATGTTATAACCAGGAAAATTAGAAAATTATAAAACGTGCTTGATTACAGAAAGAAAAAAAGAACAATGGGGAGACCGGAAACAGAAGAAGAAAGCAATGTCAAAATACAAAGATGACAGATAAGTTTAAGTGAGAGAACTCAGTGTTGGAAAGTAATGCCATTTTAATGAGTAATGAGAAGTAACCGGTAGCTGATTGTGAACATTCCGCCCACCACGTCCAGTGCGATGAAAATGGATTATCCGCCCACCGTGTGCAGCCGGTACTGTTCATCGATTGGTAAGGCCACAAGTTTTGATATGGGTCGTTTAAGAATTGTCGACTTTGTACGCACTGTTGCAACACGTACATGAGAATCGTTCCCGGCGCGTACTTGAATAACTCGACCTAGTTGCCATTGAAAAGGTGGTGCTCGTTCGTCACGTAGGAGTTCCAGGTCACCAATTCTCAAATTGCCTTGAGTCTGCTGCCACTTATTTCGGGCCTGAAGCTCCTTCAGATAGTCGCTGCTCTATCTNGTAGGAGTACCAGGTCACCAATTCTCAAATTGCCTTGAGTCTGCTGCCACTTATTTCGGGCCTGAAGCTCCCTCAGATAGTAGCTGCTCCATCGCTGCCAAAAGTTTTGACGCATTTGTTGCAGTTGCCTCCAGCGGGTGAGGCTTGAAGATTTAACGTCGCATAAGCTTGGCTCGGGAGGTGCTATTAGGGGGCCACCGGACAAAATGTGAGCTGGTGTTATCGCTGTCACATCGTCGGGGTCATCAGAAAAAGCTGCGAGTGGTCGCGTGTTTAGCACTGCCTCGACTACCTTGAGCAC